GATTGAAGGACAAAAAAAAAGAAAGAAAGAAAGAAAGAAAGGAAAAAAATGAAAGAAGGAAAGAAATAATAAAACAAGAAGTTGAAAAAAAAAAGAAAAAGAAAAGAGAGAAGAAGAAGAAGAAGAAGAAGAAAAGAAAAGAAATTGAATAAACCTAAGGTCTCTAAAACTAAAAAAGTACAAATTCAGGCAAGAAGAAAAAAAAATAAAAAAAAGAGAAAAAAAGTACTAGAGAGAATATTAGAATGTAAAAAAAAGTCCCACATCTAAAAGATTATAAAATGAAATATGATATATAAAGTTTAGAAAGCATCTAATCAAATGGCTTAAGCTATTTTGATAGAATATATTATCCTTAAGTATATTTAATATAATAAATTTAACATGATTATGGTATGTATAAAAGTATTTGAATATTTTTAAGAAAATCATAGTTTTAGCCTTTTAAGTTTGCAATTAATTTTTACATGCGTGTGTATTTGTATATGTCAACGAGGGCGCTGCTTGATGGGTGAAGAGGTGAGCAAATATATCCATTGTATCCAAATATTTTGGCAACGTTTGACAAGGCGCTGCAAATGTACTTCTTTTATATTGTGGAATCACATGTTTCCAACAAATGCAAGGGATACGCTCCGACGGAAAAATTCCACATATTTCCAACAGGCGCTTAATTTCTAAAGATGTGGTTTCTAAGTTCTAACTATTAATACACACACACACACACATATTTGTACAAGTTAATCTGAACAGTTTTGGTTTTGAAAGATCCGAAGTCCTTTGGCTTTAGCCAAAAGAACAACATCTCTGAGTTGGCACCCACTTTGTTTTAGCATTAATTTATCCTTCAAATTCAATACCACTTCATATAAATATTGATATCTTGATAGAGGGGGGAATGCATATATTCAACGTAACATGGAATGTGGCCAAGAACAATATTTAAAAGATCGAGAAAGACATTGAAAACTGATGGATTGATGTTTGGTGTCATAGAAGACAAAAGGAAGATGAAGAGAGCACGACTCAGAGTCTGCTTTGGTATAGCTCTGAAAGGGAAAGGGAGGTGAAGAAAATGGGAGGCTGACGGAATGAGTCCGAAATAACGATTTTCGTTTGCCTTTTCTCCTTCCCAATTCCCACCATCAAAATATTTAACAGGTGTTATCTTAGGGTTAAATCTTAATAAAAATAAATTTCACATTGAATGAAATTAAAATTAATATTGACTCATAGACTTAACGCTCCGAAAATTTTGAACCGAAAAAAAAAAAAATAACAATAAATTTTTTTAAATTATATAAATAATAATTTGATCCTTCAAAATGTTATAATTTTAATGAAGTTTTTAAAAATTTCTGTGTCAATAAATTTTAAAGTTAAAAAATTATTTTACCTTTATAAAAATGACAAGCCCCAATCACAATTTTTATTCAAAGAATCACAATTTTGTTCTGTAAATTGTAAAAATTGAATAATAAATCACAACTTGTTAAGTATAATTTTTATTATTAAAAAATAAACCTCAATTATAACTTTTGCTTAACAAATAATAACTTTTGTTCTGTAAATCACAAAAGTTAAATAAAAAATTATAATTTATTAAGTGTAATTTCTATTATTAAAAAATAAATTCTCAAAATAAGAAATTTCATTCACAATTTTTATTTAAAGAATCATAATTTTTATTTATAGAATAATAAGAATTGAATAAGAAATCACAATTTGTTAATAAGGGTGAAATAATCTTTTCAATTTAAAATTTATTGACAAAAAGATCCCTAGAAATTTTAATAAAATTATAGCATTTTGAGAAATTAAATTTTTATTTATATAATTTGAATAAATTTTATTGTTATTTTTTCAAAAATAAACGTCAACTATACTTTGTATGTTTTTTAAAGTGCTAGAACTCACGAGCTCTGTCTCAGTTCCTAACACGTTTTATTGTAAATGCAAGGAAGGGCTGAGCTGGTGAGCCCAGAGCCGCGCCTCTACCGATATCGCGTCTTATGGCCCTTATATCATCTAAGCATGACACGTTATGATACTATTTTGTTTATGCTAACATTATCACTTTATTATACCGTCTCACTATCCCTCTATCACAGACAACTAATCAACAAAATTTTCTTGAAAGAAATGAAAATATAGATATGTAGATAATATACAATCTCACTAATTACTAATGGCTACCAAATACTAATTACTGAATTTACAATAATCATATTTTGTTAATAATTTGACAAAAATTATTTTAAAAGTTTGCCAAAGATAAAAGCATAAAAAAATATCTTGTCAAATATTTTTCCAAGCTTAAAAATCTCACTTGAATTTACATTAAAATAACATGAAACCCAGCATATCCAGAAGCAAAATCTTGGCTTGGTTTAAACTTTCTGTAAAAAGAAAAAAAAAAGCAAAAAAACTTTTGGAAAAAAGGAAGCAACCCAGCACTGAATCCCAAAATTCAGGTTGGGACTTGTTTATTAGGTTAAATTGGGTTTTAGATTGGTCATTTAGATCACGTATATCAGTTGTAAATTTGGGAATCTTTGTTAATTTTAGAGCTCATCTACTGTAAATGCAAATATCATTTGAAAATTGTAGAAAGTTAAATCTCAAAAACTTAGTTAGAGAAGTTTAAATTATACTAGTTGTAAAATACTAAAATGTAAAACGTGGAAATTTTATTGGAATTGACCGATGATCCAATTTAAAGAATTTCAAAAAATGAATCAATTCATCTTCTCATTTTATAATTAATACTCCCTCTATTCAATATTACTTATAAGGCATTTTTAATCAAATTATATTTTTTAATAAGTTAATTAATTATTTTTTAAATTATATATTTTTTATATTTATTCTTATTTAATAGGATGTTTTAATTAGAAAATATTGACTTAAACCCTATTAAGAAAGGTAAAGAAAGACTGCAAAGAACACCTTAAGAGGTTGTTGAACGAAGCCTTTTAATTAATAATATTTCTAAAAACTTAATAAATGATATAATACAATAACATCATATAATCTATATAGCTGACCCTACCTAATGTACAAAGTTTATTATTGTTGTTGTTTCAGTTAAGAAATATTATTAATTAAAAACCATAATTAAAAGTACTTTCTTGGGATTCTCATCTCCATTTCATTATTAATATACCCCTATGTCAAGGCAGAGCAAAATTAGCAATGGTTCTAGTTGCTAATATTCCACTCAAATGGATATCAAGTTTGCAAACAGTATTGAAAAATATCTGAGCGCATATGTGGATTTAAGGAGAAATAAAAGTATAATTTATGATGACATCTCACAAAGACTTGAATCAAAATCCCAAACACGAAAATCGCTATGGAACAGGAGCAGGGCTCAGAAAAATTATGAACAATTTATTAACTATTGGCTATGTTCTCTAAGGTTAACTAAACCAGAGTGTGAGAAGTGTGGCCAACATGAAGAATCTCCAGTTCATATATTTTTACAATGTGAATGGGCTAGAATAGTGTGCTTGGATCTTCATTAAGTCTCGAAGAAACACAAATGAAGATATGTAATATGAAGGAATGGTTGTTGAGATGCTTTGGAGAGTTTTCAGAAGAAGTACAGATTGGAATATGCTTAATATACTGTACGGTCTATTGTTCTTCTGAAAGGAGAACTCTCATGGGATTTGTCAAGCAAAGCTAGAGGATGTACAACTAATAATTCAAATATTAGGATCATGTTGGATAGATTTTGTTCTTTGAAGGTAACTTCCATCTAGTTACTAGGCTAGTGTGTAACGACATAATTTTGGATCTGATTCTTGTTATATTTGGTCCCATAAATAGTGTTCACTTTTACTTTGTCTGTTAATCAAAATGTGTTGATGCTTCATCAAAATTTCTTGCAACCTCTCAAAAATATTGTGAAATGCATGTAGGTCCAATTCAGATAGCCTTTGGTTTGTCAAGTAGGCTTTTAAAAACCAAAACATTCCTTGAAATAGGGATGAGATTTCTTGGGTTGGGTAGAGAAAATAGGGTGAATAAATAAGTTGTAGAAGGTGATATTATTATTGTGATTAATACCTTGAAAAGGTATTGTGATTGGTGTGCAACCTGCGAATCAATTGGAGAGGATGGTTCAACATGAAACAACCTTTTTTTACTGATCTTTGACTAAATCATGTATAAGGAGGCTAGTTGTGCTGACATTTTTTTTTTTCGCTTCATATATTCTTGATATTGACTTTAACTTTGCTAGTTTTGATGAATGTCTTGTTGGTTGTAAGAACATTAATTACTCATTTGATCATATTTATAAATCACTTTCAACATATTTTACCAGTATTAAGAAAAACCTTAAAATTTATTAACTCTGTTTTAAAATTTAATAAGTTTTCAACTTTGCTCTTATTAAATATACATAATTCAATAACATATTTTCTTTTTCTAATATTCAATGGAGAGTAAAAGAAAAAATTTATGATAAAAATTTTATTCTCTCTGCGTTATACTAGAGGGAATATCTAATTTCTTGATATTCTCTATTTCAAGGAATGTTATGATGAAGATTTTGAACATAATGCCTTGTTGATTATAAAAAAAGTATTTTTGTAAAATATTATTAATAGAACTTTAAAAAATTTAGAATATCTTATACTTTTAAATATTTTATTTGAAAAAAAAAGTCTTATATTTTTTACTAGAGAATTAAGCTTTTAGAATTTACAAAACTCAACTATTTACAATTGATTATTTGAATTTATGAACCGACTGAATTTTAAAAAATATGTGCTTACATTCAGGGTTGAAGTATTTCTTAATTTTGTAAGCTTTAATTCATAAATTTATGGCAGATAACAGAATTTTAGATCGAGCAGTTTAAACCGAATACTTGACCCGTGATCAACCCCTTGGCTCTAACCCGAAAAGGGAAAAGGGGCTGTTAAATTCCCATTCCCGCCCTCCCATTCAACTCAATAACTCATCATACTCGCGCATCCAACTACAATTTCCTCTAGCCCCTCCCTCACTCTGGCCCAAAGCAAAACCTCTTTCTCTCGCAACGAGTATTCGGCATTGATTATTTGAATTTACGAACCGATTCTCATGACTTAAACTCTTGTCTTCGAATCGGAAAATCATTCTTTACGATTTGACCTCCACATTCACCGATTCATTTAAATAAACATGAAGATCAACAAGGTCTCCGATCTCAGCTCCATCTCCGTCCTTCCTCCTCACACAAGGTTCGAATTCTCAGCTCCTTCTGTCAGTTTGAATCAATAGAAAACAAAGGAAAGCTGACAGGAATGTTATATTTGTCGTGCAAAATGCTAAAGGAAATAACAATTTAAAACAATAAAAGGCTATGAGCTATCTAGCTCGGTTCATCTCGGCTCATTGTTCATTATTCTTACTTATAGTTTTATTTGTTCCTCGTGGTTTTACTATTTTGGGACTTTGGGTTAAGATTTGGTTCAATTGGTTGGTTTGGACGTGATCAAACGCATTCCAATCCAGAGAGAATGCGTTGGTAGCCTTGGATTCAGAACTAAACTACCGTAAGGAAATGCGTTATGCTTAATCACTGCTTCGCTTAAGTTAGGCCGTTTACTTCGGCTTTCTTTCTGATCATAAGAAGTTAAAAAAATGGAGAGAACTTGTAGATTTAAATTTTTATTTCACACACACACACACACACACATTTGAGGATATTTCTTTTTTTTACTGAAAGTATGCCTCCTATGATTGTCATTTGTAATAATTCTGCAGAAATTCTGTTTAGGATCCTGTGGAAACACAGGATGAACAGGTTACTTATTATCAAAGTCTTATGAACTGTACTCGGGACATCATTTACTTTAGAAACAATAGCTCATTTCAGTAGTAGCTTTTTATTCCATTCCTTGCCTCGACGTTGTTAGCATTCAAAGTTGTTTTTCTTTAGTCTTTCTTTTGTGTCTGAAAATGATAAAATGTTAAGCTCCTGGATAGAAAGATGGTATTGATAATTTTGGCAACTCACGCTATTTGATTGGAAATACAACTTGAAGGAAATCAAACAATGTGCCAAGCGGATTGCAAGGACCACAGCTTCGCTCGCAACCATCTGGTCAATCTCAGCAATCATTTTCTCATGGACTTTCATCACAAAATGCATTGTTATCCCAGTTCTCTCAAAATTCCCTTGATGAGGCTGTGACAAATGATCAGGTTATATTTTATTTCCTTACTCTTGCCATGTCTGTTTTTTGATATGCAATGTAATTTTTTAATTATATTTACTTGAGTTGAAAATCTTCCATTAAGCAATGGATTTCAGATAAACTTGCACTTTACGAGTCACATTTGTGACGTTGGAAAACCTTACTGTTAAACGAGAAGAAAAGAGCACACACTGTGAGAGGAAAATTAATCATGCTGTTGCCACACTCTGTAAAGCTTAATTGTTTCTTATGAGATCTGGTTAACCTGGGTTTCTCTGTCTTCTCATACTAGAATTCCATGGTGCACAGCCCCGAGTATGATTTATGTCCACAAATTTGAGGAGAAAAGCTTCCTCTATGCTGCTCCTATTCTCTAACTATTGAGAAGCTTCCTGTTAAATTTTCCCTAATCCAACAGTAGCGTATCTCAAGTAAAATGAACATAACATCTTGTTTAAGCTTTATATTCATTTAATAAGTATGAAATCATAACTATAGACAATCCAACATTTTGCCATGTTCATTGTGCTCTTTTAATTTTTCCAGAGACTGGGCTCTCAAGAACGCGAGAACTCTTTGAAAAGGCTTTCTTGCTTGCCCGCAATTACATATGGACGGGAAGAAAGTCAGCCACCTAACTCCAGATCTTCAGCCAATTTCGTGCGCAAATGGAATTCTGTAGATCTTAAAAGTAAGGGGTAATCCATGAAAATTTAAATTAAAAGTCTATTGAGCGAATCTTAAGGATTCATATTTGACATGTTTGAATGTGATTTGCCTTTGTTGAAGCTGTGTATGAGTAGGCAGGCCTATTAGTTCAGCGTCCTTTAATGTGTATAAGCCTTTACAGAAGATACTCACTGTAATCTGCTTTTGCAGGTCAGTTAAGTGAAGGACTTGAACACCGAATTGGAATGATGGAAACTTCATTGAGCAGGTTTGCGATGATCTTGGATTCCATTCAAAATGATGTAATGCAAGTAAACAAAGGAACAAAGGAAGTTACTTTGGAGAGTATGTGGTCAATCCCTTAGATATAGAGAATCTTTTGCAAAAGATTTATGAATGTGATACTTCTTTTCTGTAATTGGAAGACTTGAATCTAGGGGGAAATAAATTTAAAGCTTAGATTAATTCTTTGGTAACTAAATGTATGTCAGTATAATAATTTTTTCCAACATCCCTGATAAAATCTTGCATGACCTTCATCTTCTTTCTTTCTCCAATTTTTTTAATCGTTTTCCGGTCAGTATTTAAACCACAGTTCAGTTCGAACCAAATGCAGGTCTCTTATTTCTAGTCTATAAATTGCAAAATTTATGTCTAGCTTGATTTACAGTTCGTCAAGCATTTGATGTCGTGTTGCTAAAACTAAACTTTGGTTGGTCTGGTTGAATTTATGATCCAGTTTCAAAACTATCATAACCGAAGCATAAACAATTTGCTTCATTAATCAACTGCATCAATAATTCTAAAAACTTAGTGTACGTTGTTATTTTTTCTCTTTTAATTCAGTGGAATGCATGAGGCAGAAGTTGATTGCTCAAGACAGCACACTTCAGTTAATGGTAATAACCTAAATTTTATCATGAGATCTAGGCTAGCATGAATGCTTAAGCATCAGCTTTTGTAATCACTTAACTCATGAGATCTCGGGTTTCAATCAGACCAAAGGACAAGAAGAACTTAAAACAAACGTTGATGGGAGCTTGAAATCTTTATCTGATCAAGTGAGCAAGGTCACAAGCCAAGACAAGTTACATGAAACATTTTTGGTTGTTTCGACATTGCCACAGTTAATTGAAGCATCTCTGCAGAATCTGCAAAAGGAATTACATAGCAACTTTTCCGAGGAAATGCAGGCACGTAAGATATGGCAATGAATGATGTCTGAAACATGTTAAGATAATAGCTTTTGACTTTGTTAAGGGTTAATTACAGATCTTTATCCAATATGAAAAATGCTCAAAGTACTTTTGTCTTCATTTTTCATCCCCCTGCCCCTGACTCTTCTGCATCTCTACTTTATTTTATGTAGAGATTTCAGTGGTCAGTCTCCCTGATGGCTATCAACTAACTGATGCTTTGTCAATGAGTGCTTGTAGGCAGTTTCTTGCAGCTTAAAAAGCCTTAACAAAAAAGATTTGGCTCCATCTACTACATCAACAAAGGTTCTTTATTTCTATTACATTTTGAACCAGTAAATTTTTCCAGTCATTTTGTACGATGAGAAGACGAGTAATAATAACTGATACATTGTTGGATTGCAGAGTATCCGCAACCCTGTCACTGCACCAAAAAAGCCTCAGGTTCATGCTAGGTTTGTTTACCACCTAACTATTACTGCTAGTGTTTCTGCTCAATTAGAAAAAATATATCCATTTCTCTACATTATAAGTTGGTCAATCTCACAAACAATCATTGAGTGAAACAATTTAGCTTTTCTCACAGAAACATTTTCATATGGTTTTCACTTCTTAAAACGTGGGAAAATATGCTGCATGATGATTTTAATGTTTTATGATGTAGAATCTGAAAGAAACTAGGCAATGACAGACGGTGTGGTAATTTCCATTCATAACTTTCAAGTTTACACTAAAACCTATTCGGTGACCAGCACTGTGCTCAGTGTTCACAGAATTAACATGTTGAATGATGTCTATGCGATCTAGATTTAAACATCAAGTGATCACCATGGAAGGAGAGATTATGCGTGCGTGCGTGCGTGTGTGCACAGGAAGGCTAAGATGAGGGTTCATGAGTTCACGTGGTTTTCTGTCGTGTCTCTACACTTCAAGTGCTTACCTAAGGGAGAAACCTGAATGTGTTAGTGTTAGAAGTAATCAGCCCTAACCCTCTTAACTTGTGGCTTTTTCTTGGAAACAGGTCTATTTTAAAAGTGGAATCTATTGATGGGGTAAATTGGTTTCTTGTTATTTCATATTATTCGCCCATGCGTTTTCATAGAAAAATTTCCCCATATTTTCACGGCAAAAAAATTTATAATATCGATTCAACTTTTGGGCTTCGAATTATGATTCCCGTTATAAGTCATCTAACCTCTCAAATTGGCTGCACACATTTATGCCTACTAAAGCGTAATGATACATTTTATTGCATCCTTCTTCGATCTGCCCTAGTGCCTTCATGCTATGCTGCTAAGGTAGATATTCTGGAACTGGCCTGGGGGGAATGGAAGCTTATAGGCATTTTTCTTGACTTCAGTGGTGTTAAAATTAGTGTACGAGCTACTAAAGCACCAGAGGGAGGAAATGAAGGCTGGAAATCGATCAAAAAAGTTACTTTTGGGGATAGATTGTCAGACAAAGAGCACGAGCAAAAAGAGCCTTGCTCAGCAAAGGTATTTCTAAAATTAGTTTCTTTGGTCATTCGTTATTCTAGCTCAAACAAATTGTTGTGTGCTTGCTGCCTGTAAATGATAAATATGACATGAAGACAGTTATATTAGATGCACTTGACAATGAAATTTGTCTCGTTATTTTCTGCTTGTTAGCTTGAGTAATAGCCTCTCATTTTTCGGTTATTGGTTTGAAATTTTATGGCAGCATACTAGGGGAGAAAGAGAATGTAGAATTATCATTGAATCGGATGAGGAAGCTGATGGAAGTTTTTCGTGCCTGCCTGAAAAATGCACAGGTAGTTGGCAAAGCTGTAGTGAATATCCACCTTTTGTCTATATTGACTGCCTATATTTCTTCTCTTCAAGCACATTCTAAACAAGTAAACATCACCTTATCCACCTTTGTCATCTAAATGGCATCTTCAGGTTTCAGTATCGTTTGAAATCGGATTACCATGTGCGTGTCAGCGATTCCATTTTCAGTGTGTAGGGGCTGAATTCAACTTTAGATTCATTTAGGTTTCCAGAAGGCAATAGTCAACAGCCTAGTGGCTGTTTGAACTAGGTGATAGCTACTATCCATTATCAGATTAGAGTCTTTCTTAAATTTTGTATACTTACTGATTAATAGCTTGATTGTGGTTGCTTTATATTCTATGATAGCAACAAATGATTTATCTAAGTTTAGCGTGTCTTTGTTGGTTTGCCTATTACTAAACTAGTAATTATATAACTCCTTTTTATATTATATTTTAATTTTATTTTTTTTGTGAAGTCTATAAATAACCAAGCTTCATTTGAATGGGAATTAACTGCTGGAAATGTATGTTTCCATGGAAAGACCTATACGGAAAATGGACAAAGGAAGCGAAGGAAGAAAGTGAACGGATTTTGCGGGAAGCAAGAAGGCGTAAGAGAAAGCATTGTGATACTATAATTATCAACTGAAGGTACATTTTTTAGCTGTGATTTCAATCTATCATCCCTCTGGCTTACATGAAAAATAATAATACAGCAAGAGCAGGCACAGTCTCTGAACAAGTAAAGGCAAACGATGAACCAGCCCAAGAAAGGAGGCCCAGAACGAAGACCAAACCCAGCAGGTTTAATCATTACATACTAATGTTACCAAAAGAGAAAAGCAGATTACATTCTAAACAAGCCTTAATTTGACGGGCACAAGTTAGTAGAACAAGAGTTGTTACACCTGTTAAAACTCACTTGTTTCTATACTTTGTAGTCCTGTTGGAGGGAAGTTATATAAATAGGTAGGTAAGTCAAGTAATTTTTGATCTAATACTTCGTAAGGAGCTTCTGGGGTCTCTTGTAAGAGCATTTTCATTCAATAATACTTGTTTTTCCTCTCATCACCTGCTGCCTGTCACCCAACTGTAATATCCAAGTTTCGTTTTATCTAATGTAGGTCCATCCTGCTGAACGCGGCCCCGCTCTAGTTTAGTGGCATTGCTTAAATAAATTTTAAGTTGGGTAAACTGACTAGACTAAACATCATCAAAATAATAATAATAATAATAATAATAATTTTATTTTATAATAATTATTATTATTATTTTGGGCACAAGACAGCTTATTAATTTTGTACTCTGCACGAACAGAGGAAAACAACTTACTTTGGGTAAACTGACATTGAATTTTCCCGTGACGCTTCCGCCAAAAACTGTTCATACCCGCACACAACACTCAATGTGCTCTATGATGTAAGATGGAAAAGTTTTAAATTTTTAACAATATTAAAAAGGTCCAAACTCTACATCATGTCCTCCAAACCTGATGGCTAGTGGTACAGCTATTAATTAACTCGTCTCCTTCTTAGATCTTCAACCATGATTTCTGTTTCAATTAAATAAAGGTTTTGGTTTGGACATGTGAAGCATGGTATGAAGCAGTGTTAGATAAGGAGCCTCACCTAAAGCTGCTTTTTATTCATAGTTAGTTGCTAGGGGTGATTGCTTAACTTTTATAAGTAATAAATCAATGGTGAATATAGGGGGTTGGGCTCTCTTTTTTCTTCTGTGGTTAAGGTAGGGCACCTTCCGGACAGACAATCTCATCTAAACAAAACAAGGCGGGGTTCCACAATGGAGGGAGACAGCTCCTCCCCAGTACCCACTTTGTTGAAAACTGATTGCACGTAAGTTAGTGGAATTCTCTCATGACTATGGATATTTTCCTTGTTTTCTCATTTGTTTCAATTTAGTGGGTTTTTACCTTTATGTTTTGGAAATGCAAGTTTCTGTCTTCTGAAACTTGCTTAAATCTCATTAAAGTTTGTATAGTTTCATTTCCTTCTGGTATAAACCGAAATTCCACATTCAAAATCAAATGAACTGAGGTTACACTTTGTAAATGTATTGATTATTGGTTCAATGTTTTAAAATTTCATGTCAAAGTATAATATATTCCATAAATACTTTGGATGTTCTTTCAAGTATATACATGCGCCCGCGCCAACACATTGGACGTGAGGTCAATATCTAAGAATGTAAATAAATTATGTGAACTTTCTTTAAGATAATTTTTTACTAAGTACATATATTATTTATTAAATAAAAATAATTAAAATAGAAAATATTTTGATGTAAGATAATTTGCTTGTCCGGGAAAGATATATATAATTTCATCAGGGGTGGAGATTCTTGTAATTTATTTTAACAATATTATCTTATTTTAAAACTTTAGAGCGCTTTACTTAAAAAATCAAGAACATATAATTAATTTACTTATGATAGTCACTCGGCCGAACAAATACTTTTACTCACTTTAGTAATCGTTATTATGATCGTAACATCTCTTCTGGTTAGTCAATTTTGTAATTAATTTATTTGTCTGAGGAATGTACAAAATTATTCTTAAAAAATTGTAATTGAAACACATGCCCTGATCAACAATACCATTGATTTGTTTAGAATCTTTTTATTTGGCGAAGTATTTTTTTATTCTTTTATAATTAAATATTAGTTAACTTCAACACAAAAATTGAGAACAAAAAATACACATACAGGCACGTCAATGACAAGAAACACAGAGGACCAAAATGAATTTGTTGATTATAGTTAATAATATAAGTTGAGCTTGTGGGCTCAACTTGCCAACTTGTAAAAAAAAAAAGTGTGGGTTGGGTTAAAAAAATAGGTTCATTTTTATGCAAGATAATTTTAACTGTCCCACATAGTTTGAACTTGCAACGAGCCAACCTATGAATTGGTAAGTTAATTCATTTATTTTTTAAAAAAAAGATAGAAATCACATATTCGCTTCAATTTTCAAACCCTCCAAAATTTTGAAATTGAACCATTCAAAACAGTTTTGAATAATTAATTTATAAAAATTCTAAAAACTTTTAATATTGAATGGGGCCATAAGATTAAATCTATATTATTCAGATTGAAAATAAAATTATTTTTTTTATAATTTTTATTTAATAATTATAAAATAAAATTGTTAAGCTGGACTATCCAAAATCAAAACTAGACTTGAGGAACTATAACATATCCTTAACAACTAAACTAATTAACCTTCATTGGAGGGTAGGAAGCCTTCATTTAGACAACAAATAAATGAAGAATAAATTTTCATTGCAAAATAAATATCAATATATAATATAAACGAAATTAATATACCAAGATGTACTTTTTATTCTATACAATATATAAGAAAAAGAAATTTAGTTATGTCAATAACAACAAAAGGAAAGACTTCTAAATTTTTGTACCATGATACCTATATTTTCTCATTTACTTATAAATTTTACATGTTAATTATATTTTATATTTAATTATATTTTTCTTTTGGTGGCAGATGAAGTGTTGAAAAAATCTATTTAAATTAATGTTATTGCAACTTCTGATAAAACTTCAAACACTATGATTGATTAGAAGAAATTTTCCAACTTTGGATTGTAATTAAAATTTTTATTATGTTTGTTTGTGATTGATATATATTTATTTCAGGTTATATCAATCTATTTTTAATTTGTATTTTTTTAATGATTTAAAAGGAGTTTTATCGTTATTTGGATAGTTAGTATTAAAGGAGAAAATATATTTTTATCACACACAAAAAAAAATAAAAAATGAATTTATAATTTTTAAAATTAATATATATAAATATATGCATATATATTTTATTGGTGAGTTTGCATCAATCCGTTACAGGTTGATAGAAATATAACTCACATAATATATAAGTTATGTCAATTCATCCTATCAAACCCGTAACCCACTACGGGTTATCTTGTAAGGCATGATTTAACCCCGTATTACCAGCTTCATTGGTGGTTTCCAACACTGGAGAAAGAAGATAAGATAGATACATGTAATGAAGACCGGAGGTCGGCGTTGAAATGCTAGAATCGCTATAGCCTGTGCCTCTAATAAAAAATATATAATGTTTTTTTTTTTTAAATTTCGAGGGGTAAGTATTACTTGTTAATTGTCATAGTTTTCAAGGGCAGGTCACGAGGCCCCAAAATACAATTGGATAAACCCAAGATATTCTTCGCTTTTTTTACTCTTACGACCTACTCTATTGTTGTTTAGCGTCCAATGCCTTTGTTTATCCACATTTGGTGACATCTAAATTGTCTTTAATGCTAGTACGGCGACACTTTGACATAATGACATTAGGCTCTCTCTCTCTCTCTCTCTCTCTCCAGATATATATATATATATATATATATTGTAGAATATGGAGGAAGTGTGAAGTTAATTGGATCACAAGCTTCATCATTATTATAAATGTTTGGAAACAATGCTTCATGGATGCTTCAGAAACTTGAAGAAATGCGCTATGCTGGTCCTTCTCATAATAATTTCATAAACATCACGTTACCTCTATCATAACCAGAATCGAAACCTCAATGCATAGATATGATTGGTTTTGATCCTGCATTAATTAGCTGTTAAAACCAAACAACGGCTCAAATCAAACCAAGTCATTTGTCCTAACTGTAATTTTATTTTATTTTTCACATCAGGTCAAGTTTCATGAACAAATATATATATATATATATATAGATAGAGAGAGAGAGAGAGAGAGAGAGAGCATGAGTGAAGAGATGTCACATTTGACAGGGCAACAACCAGCTTAATGAGTTGTATGTAGTATGGACCAACACTAACAAAAGGGTTCCCCAAAGTACATTAATTGAATTGACAAGCGTGAGAGAAGACCTTTCTTTTCATTAATTTGTAACAATGTTGTTTAGTTAGATGTTTCGTTTTCTAATACCGAATGGTCCCGACCTTGTTTTATTTTCGAAAGGCCCAAAAGTTTAGCATTGGTATTTTAAGATCCTCTAGAGTAATTAAATTATGTTAATACGAATACAAGACGGAAGGAAATTAATATAGGGTGTGTGAGTGATTCAAAAAACAGAATGATGAAATTTGGTTGAGAGGAGAGGGGTGATGTTGCAAGGCAGCGTTGCTTCGCATACAAGACTCACAAAGAAGAGATGCGTGGCATGTGCCTTCTAAAGCTCACTCATTCTAATCACTTGCCTTTCAGCTGAAGCCTTCCAAATGCTATCCCATTCCTTTTTCATTTTATAAATTATGACTTTCACCACAAGTTAATTTCACTATATATTATCATTTTAAAAATTATAAACCTATCTCTCCTTTGCATGTCACCTGCCTTTTCATTTACAGAAGCTCTATCACACATTTATAACTTTTTTCTGTAAAACTAGAACATTATATTCTATAATTTTATAGGGCATTAATCAATATTTTCTTTGTTAAAAAATATAAAATATTTTGGATTTTTCAAGGTGTCATTAATAAAGCTTTTTTTTAAAAAACCTTTAATTAAGGTGTAACTAATATAAATAAGGATAGGCATAAAAAATGTGTAATTTTAAAAATAATTAACTAATTTATTGAAATATATAATTTAATTAAAAATGTCTTATACTATCAAACGGATGGAGTAATAACTTAAAAAACTTCCCAGCGCAACACTTTTTTCATCATTCTTAAAAGAAATTTAAATGTTTAAGATCCTGATGGTGCTAAAAGGATCCCAAAATTATTCAACAGGTATATAAAATATAGTATCAATTGGTGATCATTTCAATCTTTGCATAACTATTTTGGTTGAAAATAAAAATATAAATGACTGCTAGGAACTAGGAAGTCCTTATTTGGCAAGTGAACGAACTATAGAAGAATTATTACACAAGACACGTTTAATCGGCTTTTTTCTTTTTTCTTTTTAAAGAAGACTTTAATTTAACAGATGATTCCAAAAGTGTTCTAGGATTATTCAGAATGCATATAAGTTGCAAATTGCGAAACACAAGGACACACAAATCATTAATAACAGCCAAATATAACTTTTTTTAAAA